TCAGTTGCCAATGTTATAATCCAAATTCAACTTTTTGGCTTCCTGCACGAATAGGACACAGTTCAGGAAACTTTATGAAACAGTTCCTGCGAACATCTTCTGCAGCATCTCAGTTCTGAGAATGCACTTTTTTTTTTCTTTTTTTTAGATGTGCTGAATTGGCTGAGCTGCACTGGAGGTTATTGAAAATATGGAATGGTTGAATAAAAGAATTACCCCGCAGTTACTTTTAGCAGAATACACCTGGCAGATTTGTGTTGAAAGTTCATTTGACTCCCTGGTGCAGTAATGAAGGTTTAAATATGGAACTCTATTTCAACTGTAGTTCCAACTGTCAGCAGTTAAATGATAAAAGCAAACAACGCGGCGCTCTCAGCACAGCAGCCGGCACATATTGGATCGCTTTCCCTTTCCCACTGCTGCGCGTTCAGAGCATTGATCGGTGGAGGAAATGATGGAAGAGGAGGACAGGAGGCGGCGCATTGTTCTTCACGTGTCGTCGATGCCTCTGTGTGACAAAAGATATTTTTAGTGAGGCTAAAAATCCCGCGTCAAGTCACGGCCAAGAAGATAACAAAGGTTCCGGCTCCAGGTTCAGAAAAAAAAAAAAGAAAAGAAGAAAAAAAATGGCAGCCAATTGTTCTGTTCAAAGTGGTTTTCAGAAAAGGTAAATAGAAAATGGAAGCGCTTTATCACTGTCATAGATTAATTAAAAACAAGATTACAACAGGTCACTAAGTGGTAATGAGCTGCAATAGTGTCGCAACTATTTAGTTTCATATCTGTGAGCAGCAGTTAATTTTAAACTGTTACTTTGACCCCTGGCAAAATGCCTCCGTCTGTGGCGTCCAGGACCTGATCCTGTCCCTGAACATTACATCAGTAACTAACAATCCAGTTACTGATTGAAACAATTCATATCCAACCATTGGCAAAAATGGTTGAATTTCTTTTGTCATATGTTGAGCTGTGTTACATTTAATTTGATCAGTTTTTTTAAAACTTAAAATCATACATGTTGATCTCAATTAAAGATTAATTAATTAATTAATATTAATGAATTGCTACAGTTTTTACTCTCAATTTATAAGATTTATTGCTACAGTTTTTACTCTCCATTTATAATATTTTTTTTATATATTTTCTTCATTTTTTTTGAAATTTTCAATGTAAACAACTTCTGAAATATTTAGACAAAAAATATTTTTTTAGAGACAATAAAAATTGAAAAAAAAAAATGTAAACAACTTCAGAAATATTTAGACACAAAATATTTTTTTAGAGACAATAAAAACTGAAAAAAAAAAAAAAGAATTAGAAATCAGAGAAGGCAGACAGGAAGACATGACAACAGACCGGAACCAAACCTGGGACAACTGTTCAGGTTTGATCATTTAAAAATAAATTCTTTACAAACTCTTGCCAATAGTAAGCGAACAAACAGACTTCCTGCTTTATCAGCTTAAAGTGACCAATTCTTCAGACCTCATTCATGACATTCCATTGGAAAAGTTGAAAAATAACAAGTCCAGCACTTTTGGCAAGACTTTCCGCTCGTGGTTGAAAGCTACGCTACAGTCAGCACACACGGCCGGCTCAGAAAGACGGCGGAGAATAGAAACCCAAGAGCGTACCGGGCGGAAAGTACGGACACGGTGAGGAAAGAGAAAGAAAGAGAGAGAGAGAGAGAGAGACTCATAAATCAGATAGAGGTGAAATTGCTGAATCAGGGTTGATTGTGCCTCGGAGAGACAATAAATCCTGTAATCATCTCTCTCTGCTGCACAGACCTGGCTATTATCTCCCCATACCTGACCACTGGAACAGAAAAAGGAGGCAGGATCCATCAGGATTCGCCCCACGTAGCTGCACTTTTTAAGGGGAAAAATTTGTCAGCTCACACAAACCAAAAGGACACGGAAAAGACAATGTTCACGGTAGAAAAGGTGAGCGCTGTAGGAACTGTCCGTTTCTTTGTTTTCTTCAGGTGAAGTCGGAATGTGAAATGTGAAAGAACTTTTTATTTTCCATCTCTGTTTTGCCCAAACACTTAGCAGACTGTTGAAATAATACCTGATGTAAAAGGCAGAGTCATTAGGCTGATAAAACCAAGTCCACGTCGGCTCCATTTGCTCCCAGCGCAGTTCCTTCATCATCACATGTACTCTCTAACGGCGCTCTGATATTAGTGTTCAAGTCACAAATTTTCCTCTATTTCCTGCCAATGCATCAGAGCCTTAAGCATATGGACCATCACTCTCTGACTGAAAGCACCGCGCTGTGGCCTAAAAGCATTTTATGCCGACCCAATAACAGAGGCAAATGAATAGTCTGCCTGCAATTAATCTTTTCAATTGACTGAATAAAACCTCGTGGTGGAACTCGACTGAATGCTGCTGTTTTAAAGCAGGGCTGTATTTTCCTTCCCTAATAGGAGAATTTAGAGAATAATTGCCCGGTTGCCTCTGCTATTGTGGTAGATCAATGCTGTTTTCCAAGCACAAATAGGAACGCACAGACAGAACTGATTGTCACAGGTGCTCTGTGATAAACGAATAAAAAATCCGTACAAAGAGCTCGACGGATTTATTATTTATTTTTATTTTTTGTTTAATAGTTGTTTACTTTCAAGGTCCAAATTAAATAAAGATATTTTTTTTGGTCTAGATATATCAGTTTTTAGAATAGTACGCTGCTCAGCCGAGGAGATCCACCAGACAAACATCCCATAGAAGACAAACACACACACACATATATATTTTATTCATCTCTGCTGCTGCAGGTGCCAATTATGTGGTTCCTCTGGGAATTGAACCCTGCACTCTAACCCAGGACTCCAGGAGAGGCTGCGACCTGAATGTCCACCCTGACTAATCTAGTTGCTTCCAAATATACCAGATTACCAAGTTACAACAGCCCCTTCCCCACCCTCCCATTACTGGCCTCCTATTTCGCCAAAGGAATAAATAAATATATAAAAAAGCTACTGTAGTACTATGATCCCAGACCGGTCCTTAGGTTGGAATTAAAACCATAAATTTGTGTGTACCAGGTGAAAACAAAACGAACGAAGGATCAGCACACAACGCTACACAAACTTTTTACATGTAGAAGATCAAACCTATTTTTTCCACCATTTTTTTTTGTCCAGTGGTTTTCACCCCTCTATAAAACAGGAGCGTGAGCCACCCTCGGGGTGGAGGGAGGGGTGGGGGTTCTTTGAGGCTCACTCAACAGACCAGAGCCTTGCCTGGGGACAGGATTTGTACCAGCAATCCTTCGATCACAATCGGCCACAGCGTAGTGCAACAGGTGAACTGTTCACTGCAGAGTTCAATGATTTACAAAAATAAATAAATAAAGAGATTAACGACAAAAGTGCAGTAGTCTTTGCTGTCGGGTCTGGAGCCCCGCTGTGAGACACACTCTGCACCCTTGAAGACTATTTCCTTTTGTCCCTCCTGCTGGTTTAGCCAGCAGTCAGTGTCCATATTGCCAGGGGAGCTGCACTACCTGATAAGCCGAGGTAGAGTCTCTCTGACACATCTGTCTGCTTGATGAGCCAAGTGTCAAAGCCCCCCAAAGTGCAGGATGGAGTGCATCAATAAAGGACTTTAATCCCCTCCTGGGGCCAATGTCCTCCTACTAATAAGGGATCGTCTTACACCACCGGCAGGAAAGAGAGGTAAGAGTGGTTTGGCAGGAGCTCCGGCACGAGGAGGTACAGTTCACTGGGAATTGTCTGTACACTGGTAACAGGCTGTACATCACACACATCTGCTGCTCCCTAATTGCTGCACTGAATTGGTGTTTGATTCCCTCCTGATACTTTGCTTTACCCCTCAACAGACACACACACCTTTACCCTGGAAGTGCACAGCTTGTTTCCAAATGCATTTTTTCCTGACTAACGCCTCTTCTCTTGTCGTTCGACACACTCTTTACCCCCACTTATCCTCAGACTGCATCAACTTTCAGACAGGAGAGGAAAAACAGCGAGGCGCATCAACTTTCAGACAGGAGAGGAAAAGCAGCGAAAAGCATTCTCTGGGAATCTATCCGCAGAGAACTGCTGGTACTGAAGGACGTGTGGGTTGCAAGCATCTGCAGGGAAGATCCAATGAGTGTTCCAGTCAGCGTGACCCTAATTAACCACATATTATCTGCAGGCTGTGTGGAGGATTAAGGCTGGACCCAAAGGCCCGGAGCCCCGACGACTCTAAAAACACTAAAACACAGTCCACAATCTGCCTCAGAACAAGACAAGGAGGAGAGGGTGGGAGTGGGGGGGCGGGAGAGGCTGAGACACAAAAAGAACCAAACACAGAGCGGAGCGCACGATGAAGAGAAGACGAGCATATCTGCAGGGTCACGACCTTTCTATAATGAGTGAATAAACATGGACAGTAGCCACAGCAGTTTGACCAACCAACGGACGGATCATCAATGTCCACTCTTCATCAATCCTGAGGAATCTAACCTCATTCTCACATCAGAAAATCCCACCAACACTAACCCAAAAATAAATATAAATATCAAAACATAAAAATAAAAGAAACCAAAGAACAGACATTGGGTAACTGGGTAATCAGCCCTAAAGTCTACAGACAGAGGGTAGGATTCCTGCAGAAGGCGTTTCAGCAGCAGCAGCTGTGACATCCCTCATTTCAGATGAAAGATGAGCCATAACAACGACAGGATTAAACAGAAGATTAACTGGCACCAACACGCCAACTGTTGGAGTCAAATATGCCATTTCTTAAACTATAATGTCTTATTACAAGTATTATGTGCTGCTACTAAGTCTATTTCTACATTTGCACGTCGCAAAAACATTACTGCGTGGAACAGTGCGGTGTTTACAATCCAGGCTCTTTAATGGGGTATTAGGGGGCAAATCCCTCCTTTGTCAACCCTGCTGCACAGCTGCTATGTAGAGTGGCTCAAACATTTCCTGAAAACGTTTCGCTCTGTGACTCGCGGCCAGTGCCGTCACCTACCTCGGTCGGTGTCGTACAGGTAGACGAACTTCTGCCACTTGTAGTGAGACAGCAGGCTGAGGACGGCTCCTCTGAGGGCGGGGCGCATCTGGATGACAAACTGCACCTCGTTATCGGTGGGGAAGCTTGGCGTGACGAAGGAGGTGTGCAGCGCGCCGCAGAAGGAGGTCAGGGTGTTCATGGACTTCCTGTCGTAGAATCCGAAGATGGCGTAGACGCCGCGGGAGAACTGGGAGCAAACTGTGGGAGAAAAAGAGTGACGATATCAAATAAACTGCACTGAATGTATTGAAAATTCATGAAAAAAGAAATCTCTACGTTTTTGAAGTACACCCCTAAATTACACTAGATGCTGGGCGTTCATGATCAACGACATTCTCAGTCATTGATCATGTGTTATTGAAGGTAAATGACTGGTCGTCTCTGATAATTTGCCTTAAAATCTGCCGATATTCCCTTCAGAAAGGGTCCTCAGGAGATAAACAATGACTTTCAAAAATTTAGATGTTATCAGGGCCACGCTCTGTAACAAAAAAAACCAAAAAAAAAACCCATCCTTCAGCGCAGACTTGCAGCAGCCATCAAAAGCTCCCTCAGTTATGTCTCAGTTCCCTCATCCACAGAGATAAACTCTCTACCGTTCACACCAGCTGTGAGCACTGTCACCGCTGTCGGCTGTCACTTCTCCACTTCCCTAAAAAGAGCTGAAAAAGACAACTCTTTCTGCTGTGAGTGAAAAGTGAATGCCTTTTCACTTTTAAGTGGCTGCGTCTGTACAAGTGCCCCCTGTGTCTGATGATGCAACAACACGCCGCTGTTCTTTTTAGTAATTGTTACGGAGGTAAGAAAAGAAAATAGCATCACGCTTCATGTTTGCAATGAGAAGCTTCTCAAATCACATCCAAAGGAAAATTCAAAGTGTTGCAGGAAGCTTGAAAAAGTACACAAGCGCTTTTGAAGTCCCTCCCCTGAGAGTCTGTTGGAGGAAAAGTAAGTATAAGAGCAGGAAAATCCCAGGAAATTGTGATTTGTACCTAGCAAAAGAAAGAGCAAACTCTCTGAGTCTGCGTCTCCCCTAGTACTCACTGAAAACTCAGTGTTTGTAGAGCAGGGTCGGTTCTAATTAGCACTTTTTCTATTTGTTTTTTCTTTTAATTCAGTTGCCACAAATCCAAATCCCTAAGTTCCTGCAGGAAAGAGATTGTTCCAAAAAAAAAAGAAAAAAGAAATCTTCCTTTTCTTTAAAGATATCTAGAAGTTCATCTACATTTCAGCCTTGTTAAATGTGTGTATACAGTAAACAGAAGTGTTGGTTAAAACACTAAAAAAAATTGGCTAACCACAAGCAAGTGATGACTAAATATACAGGAGTGTGAGCTAATTAGATAAATGTGTTGGGAAAAAAAGAGGGATAATGAAACACATTGTTCCAAGATGTATTTTTAAACAGAAGAAAAGAGAACAGAACAGAACAGAACAGAACAGAACAGAACAGAACAGAGAGCCTAATTACAGAACAGAACAGAACAGAACAGAACGGAACAGAACAGAACAGAGAGCCTAATCGTCATTGGATGTTTTCATACATCTCATATCTGCAGCGTGTGCAAATAACAATGTGTGTTTTGCCCTTTTCAATCAGATGACCATACTTAATCACTATATTATATTATAATTTTAACTTGTTACAGACTTAAACTGGGACTTAAACAGGCATGACCAGAAATAAGTCGTAACTTTTTATGCTAACCCTGACTTAGCATAAAAATGCAGACATTCGCCCCAGACATATTAAAGAACATGATTTTTTTTTTTAAATATTCTTTCTGTGGAAATAGAACTACAGCACAGATATGTGTAAATCTGTCTGACGCTCTTGTAAATCATATTTGGGTTTTAAGCCCAAATGCCGTGTGAGTGAGAGATGTTCCAGTCACTGCTGGGATTGGCCTCCCACTTTTTAATTCTCTCTCCCTATCTGCCCTGGTGCAGACACCTGGTCTGTGGTGTAAGCATCCATTCCCACCAACACACACACACACACACACACAGCCTTGATAAGTGAATCAACAGATGGACAGCAGTATTGTGCTGCATCGGGCCTCAGGTTGAATGGTGCAGTGTCCCCCTCTGAATGGGAGACACCAAGAGTTGTGCACCTCATCAAGGGCCCGTTTTCTCCACACTCCCTCTTAATTTGGACAAGTGGTCCCACAGTACTGGTACCGCACTGATCCTGGGGGAGCAAATCACCCTCTCTCCTTTTCCTGCTTGGCTTCTCAAGTCAAAGTTAAACCCAGCAGATACACCTCCACTTTATACAGCCACTGCTGTTTGTGATAACATCGACCTGAAGCCCTCCAACCACTGATGGATTTCACCTGATTGCAGATATTAGCTTTAAGATTTCGGACAACTTGGGCTGGAACATGGTTCTGTTAGACCTGGACTGGATTGTTGTCTTCCACTGACACGGAACACAAGTGGGTGGTAATTAAATAAAGTCTCAAACATAATTTGTTTACATACTATTGACTGAAGTGCACTTCAACAGGGGTCTCAAACTTAAAATAACTCAAGGGACCAAAATGACATTTTCTTCAATAAAAAAAAATAAAAAATATAAGCAGAGCAAAAATTATAATTACAGAATTAGAATTGTAAATTAACCCCCATGCATATGGATGGGACTTGAGCACTGCATTGAACCCATTTATGAAACATTAGTGTAGACTCTCTACTATGGAGTTAGTCAGGGGTAAAATAGGGGGCGCTGGACTGCAGTCATTCCCACAGCACCTAATGGCTTGTGCTGAGCTCTTTAGTATGTTCCCTAAGTTTTAGATGCGTATAAACCCGTTGAAGCTCAGCTTCATCTGCTTCAACTTAAAAGATCAGGCCAACAACAGGGCAACGTGAGCTTAAAATTCAAACCCTTCTCCCTAATGCTCGAGATTTACTGCAAAAATAAAAACAAACTTATCTGGCTATAGGTCTAACAATCTGTAAGAAAACAACTTTGTTCTGCAGATTTCTCCTGAGTGGACTCCAGCTCCCCCTGTGGTCACAGGAGGACGACTCCATCTTTGTATTTAATATTCCATCTAAAACTTTCCTCTCTCATAAAGCTCATAGTTACGGCTGGCGCAAGTGAACCTGAAATATCCCTTATGCTGCTAAACTGCCTACAGTGCTGCCGGAACTCCCATGATGCACTTTGTTCTCTCTTCCCACACGTTGTACCTTTCTCTGTTCCTTTTCTGCTGTACAAGTTTTTTTATGTGGTGACTCTGATTAATTCAACACTTTAATTAAATCAGGATTTTTTATACACATATTATATTTATACTATAGACAGTAGAAATGTGCACATATTCTGCTTTTTAATATATATACAGTATATATATATATATATATATACACGTGTGTATATATGTATATATATATGAGAGCACACTGAGAATGAAATCTTCTGTACCTTTGTTCCCTGCTTCTGCTCTCTACATTCCACACATAATTAATACAATAGTGAACTGCGGCAGGAGCTCTTCCAGGAACAAGAAAGGCAGGACTTCATACATAGAACTCCAGTTCTGGCGTTAAATAAAAATCAAGATTGATTTTTAACTCTTCCTTCTTACATATCTGACACTAAATGACCAGCCGCCCCTTCGTACAGTCTACTGAATATTTGATAACAGCCTACCGACAGAATAGATCACTGGGCTCTGAAAGCGCAGGCCTTGTGATGATTCCTGCAGAGAGTAAGAGTCGACCGGGAGGCAAAGCTTTTGTTGCCAGGCTCCTCTCTTGTCAGCTGATTCCAGATGTGGGTTTGGAAGGATAAAAGTCTTTCTACATTTACAGGGGGCTAAGACCCGACAACCTGCTACGAGCACTCCCACTGTACACTGGGATCTCTCTATTTACCTTTAGCCTAAAACAACTAAAGGACCACGTTCAGGTTCTCCAGCAAAATATATATATTTGTCCCTAATTGATGATAACTGAACTGATATTAAATAAAAATTCAACCATTTCATCCATTAAAATTTTGCACATTTTTGAAAAAGGTTAAATTTCTCTCTCCTCTAAAGTACCTCTCTCCTCTCCCACCTCTGCTGTCTCCCCCACTTCCCCTTTCATTTTTGAGTTATATTGCTGGAGAACCTGGACGTGTGTGTGTGTATATACATATATATATATGAAAACCATTTCATCCATTAAAATTTAAAATTGCACATTTTTACAAAGGTTAAACTTCGCTCTAATTTCCATCTTATTTCTCTCTCCTATAAAGTACCTCTCTCCTCTCCCACCTCTGCTGTCTCCACCACTTTAAATCCCCCACAATTAAATCAAAAAGCTGCGCTTTGTGAGTATGAATCTACCATCTATTACTTATTATGCCATACAGTTTTTTTTAGTAGCATATTGTTTTAACACTCACAGACAAATATATGTTTATATAAAAATTCCATTTACATTTATCAATAGTATCAATATTTAAACACTAGGAACTGACCGACTAAAACGGTACATGATAAAGTAGAGTTTTGTCCATTAAAAGGCAGATGTTCTATTGGATTGTACTAAAAAAACAGGGAACCTGAAGAAGTTCCACTTTTATTAGCTTTTACTCTTAAAAGTCATATATTATTCATTCCATTCCCAGCTCTTCTCTCCCTGCGTCTCTCCCTCTCTCTCTCTCTCCACTCTCCTCCCCTCTATCTTCACCACTTTATTTGACTTCTCCTTTTGTTGCTTGTCTTTTGCCTCAGCCATCTGGTCGTCCCCCAAAGCATACATCCTCTTCAAGCATGGCAGTATCTGTCTCCACCTGAATGCACCTCTTTCTTTTCTCCTTCTCTGCTCAGATTGTTTCCTCAGTAACACCGTGCTGCTCCATCAATGGAGCTGAGACCGGGGGGTTGGACTGGTGTTAGGTCTTTGCTATGAGACATCCAGGAGAGGGAAATATCACAGGCCTTAGCTCATCTGTAACTAGGTATAAGTGATTTTAATGGAATTAATATCTGGAATGAACACAGGGGGGAAAAAAGCAAATCAAGACACAATAAGAAAAAAATAAAAAAGGTTCTCGGTTTATGACGTCCTGAACTTACAGCGTTTCGAGGTTACATCTCTAGCTCCTATACATTTACAAGTCTTGTTCCATCATTCCGAAGATAAAACAAATGTCGCATGGGAACTAGATGGTGGGCAAACAAAAAATACGT